TAATACTAAATAATAATAATATAATAATAATAATATAATAATAATAATAATAACTAATAATAAAATAATAATAAATCATTCTATAACACTATATTCCAAATAGCACAAATGTTTACACAACTTTACAAAGATAGGTTTCTTAACTACTTATTTAAACAATCTGAAAACATAAAATTTTAACCAAATTGCAACTAATATTATTACTAAATTTTTAATAAAACTATCAGATAATATATACAACTAAATATAGAAATTATACTGTATAAAACTAGCCAATTGGAAACATCAACACAACATATTAACTTGACCTTTATACACATCAACAAATACATATAATAATCCAAACAATACAGAATACATACATTACCTTAGATCACTATACACTTATAACTATATTTGTGGTTTAGTAAACCAACAATAGATAGAAGATGAACACAATATTTGCCTATTTATAGAAATAACAAAAAAGAAAACATTTATTTAGATATTTAAATAGATTAAATATAACACTCCAACTAACAATATAATTAACTATCAAATTAACAATACTTTAACTAATAAACCTAGGTAAGATTTAACTACTTTAGTAGGTTTAGATTGTAAATAAATTAGATTAAACTAGATAGTCTTAGTATATCTATAGTTTGAGTCTCATTCTTGTAAACAATTTGTAAACTTAACCTTTGGTCAAAGAAACTCCTTGTGAATTCTTAATACAAATTATAATAAAGATAAAAACAAAACCTCATCTTAAAAAAAAAAAAAAAAAAATATATATATATATAATAAATTTATTTTTAAATCTTAATATTATAAGAATTCAGTTTTTTCATGCACCTGCATGACAGTGCATCCCCAAAATTAACCAATTAAAATGCAAAATTACTGTATAACATTACACTAAATTAAAAAAAAAACAACAAACCCTAAAATCCAATTGGTTAATTAGGAGGGTGCACTGCCATGCGGGGTGCGCAAAAAACATTTTCCCATATTATAATATATATAATCCTAAAAGTATAGTTTAAAATAACAGTTATTAGATTTAATATTATTAATAAGCTTTTTAATTTATTTTATAAAATATGATGTAGCAGAAGTGATGATACAACCTATACTAGTCATAAGGTGTTCCAGAAATAATGATAACAGCTGTAATACGTAACTTGGTTTTCATAACATGAAACTTTCGGCCAACCGGGTTTTTTAAAAACCCATCCAGTTAGACCACACAAATTTGATATCTTGGTTTTCATAACATGAACCTTTTGATCAGACCCGGCCGGCCGGCCGGTTTTTTTTAAAAAAAAAATTTATATATAAATTTTATAAAAATTTTTTTAACTCACCCAATTATTAAAAACATAAAAAAATTTTTTTACAAGCTTTTTAAAATTTGACCCGGCTGAGTTATGAAAACCAATTAATTAATTTTGTATGACCTTATTAAAACATATAAAAAATTTTTACAAGCTTTCAAAACTTGACCTGGCCGGATTATGAAAGCCAATTAATTAATTTTGTATGACCTTATTACAAACCTTCATAATGTTCGTAATTATTATGAATATAAATTTTCGAAATAATGGTGTTGGTGCTATTTCGAAAATCATGCCCTCTAAAAATATATATTTGGTTTTGAAATGACACCCATGCATGTCCCGAAATAATGCGACTTTATAATAATTCTGTTCATACAATATTTTTTTTAACTTTCTTAATAAATACTTGCACGTGATAATCGTGAAGAATCTTCACGGTTATCACGTGCAGATAGTTAGTCAATCGTGAAGATTGACTAATACAATGAAAAACTCACCAACCGAGAAGGTTCTTCACGATTAGAAAATCAAAATGACACCAATGAGCGTGCTCGAAATAACGCGCAGATATCCGTTATTTCGAGAATTTACGGTAATAATTATGAATATTCGCAATAATCATAAAGATATTCATAAACTTTTAGAAATACATTCCCTAAAACAAAAAATATATATTAATAAGGGAAATTCCATTTGTACATTACGAATCTGTATATAGACACGTTTATGTCTTAAAATTCTGATTATGAAACAGCTTTAAGGTTCTAACAAAAAAAAATTCAAGTATAGATTTTTTGATCAAAAAAAATTTAATAAATTTGTATGTTGTACAACCCGTATACATACATTGGTTTTTTTCTCAATAAATATTACATACATAGGTTTCATAAATATTTCCTGAATACGTATAATAATTACGAATATTCATAATAACTATGAATATTCGTAATTTATATAATTTTATAGATACTAATAGGTGAGTGAGAAATCGAAATTATACGTATGTTTTTTGGCTGAAAAAAATTGTAAAGTTTCTTTAATGAATTCTTTTCACTGCTTTAATGTATGTACCAAAATGTATGCAGCATTTAACGCATTTAACAGGTAAATTATGTGAGTTGTATCGGATTCCCTTATGTCAAGCAAAAACGGATTCTGGAATCGATCTACGGACTCATATTCCTAAGATTTTACGCACTTCTAGTCGACAATACGGATTGTTTGTCATTACGTCGGGATTAGCCCGGAGGTCGATCCCAGGTCCGCTTTTGTTTGACATAAGGGAACCCTGTTGTATCGATTTTATCTTACGAAATACATGAACCATGAAAGTTTTCAAATCTATTTTTCGAAAATTTGTCAGCCTTTCGCTTCTTATCGATAATATAATCTATATCTCGACAATTTACTATGGTATATTATCTTTTCAATTTTCTTTAGCGATAATTTCAAACCATTATTATGAACTTTTAACGTTTTATTTACTTGTATATATATATATTTTAAAAGAGCTCTTCAGGCCAAGCGGATCCAGAAGATTACTATGTGAAACAAGATAGAATAGGAAAGATTATTATTATTATTTGTTTGATTATGACTACTGGATAACATTTATTTGACTATATGCGTGCTTTAAGTATGAATATCTCTATTTACATTTTGTTTAACTATGTACGCAACTAACAGGCAAAGGATCATTCGGTGAAGTATTTAAAGGGTGAGTTGTCAGTTTCAATTTTGCACTTCCCTTAGCTCAAATTCTTTTAATAATAATTTTTTAACGTGAACAGGTTCGATAAAAGGACTAAAATACCTGTGGCTATCAAGATCATAGATCTTGAACATGCCGAAGATGAGATTGAAGATATTCAGCAAGAAATAGCCATTCTTTCACAATTGGATTCTCAGTATGTGACTAGGTAATCATTTTATATAACAATTATAATGCGCTATTATTACTTATTTTATGTAGTAACTGATATATTAAATGCTCTGCTGCAAATGATTTTAGATATTATGGTTCATTCCTTAAGGGATCTCATTTATGGATTGTCATGGAATATTGTTCGGGAGGGTCTTGCTCTGATTTAGTAAGTGAATAGCGGGTGCTTTTTTTTTTGTTTTAGATATTTATTATTTTATGATTCTTATTATTTTGTTTCGTTAAAGATGAAGCCCGGTGTTTTTAGAGAAGAGTACATAGCAATTATATTGCGAGAGCTATTAAAAGGATTGGACTATCTGCATGCTGAGCACAAACTTCACAGAGGTTAGTATTGAGAACTATTTATTGATATGTATTACTTTAATATTTATTTATTTGATTATTGCTATGTTTTTTTAGATATAAAAGGTTGGGAATAGTTATAAAGGCCACCATATTGGAAATTTTGTTATCAAAGGTTATTTAGGTCATTAATGAATATTTTAGCTGACATGACGATGTGATCATTTATAGCGGCAAATATTCTCTTAAGCTCCACCGGCGATGGTATATATTGGTTTATCACCTAGATATATTTTAATTAACATTTCATTCTGTTGCTCATTATAATAACCTTATATTTTTAACTTTCTCATGTAGTGAAATTAGCAGATTTTGGTGTTTCTGGACAGGTCGATATGATATAATCTTTATGACAATAGGATTTATTTATATAAATATATGGTTTAACATATTCATGAATATTAATTTAGATTACAGCAACTATAACGAAGAAGAATACTTTTGTCGGAACACCGGTATGATATTAATTTTAGACTTTTGTTTTGATAATATCAGTGACAATTCATTTAATCATCGGCTATGACAGTTTTGGATGGCGCCAGAAGTCATTAAACAATCAGGATATGACTTTAAAGTAAGAATAGATACATCTCAAAATAGCACACACATATATACATATATTTGTAGTTATGAATAATTTTTTGTTTTTAGGCAGATATTTGGTCCTTAGGGATAACCGCAATCGAGCTTGCTAAAGGTGAACCTCCTTACTCGGATCTTCATCCGATGAAAGTTCTCTTTCTTATCCCTAAAAATCCACCACCATCCTTGGATGGAGCATATTCTAGATCATTCAAGGAATTCATTTCACTGTGTTTGGACAAAGATCCGGTGAAAGTATGTCGCGATGCATTAATGTTTTTATGTACTCATTCTGCACGACATTCGAGTCCATAGTTATTCTTAATTTTATGAACTTGGTGCTCCCTGTAAAATATCAGCGACCATCGGCAAAAGAATTACTCAAGCACAAATTTATCAGAAATGCAAAGAAAACATCATATTTAACAGAATTAATTGAACGACATCAAAAATGGTTGGCGGAAGGGGGTGGCCAGCAAGAGTCTGATGAATCGGATCACTCTGAGAACGGGTAAATGGCATTTTCGTTTTTTTTTTTCCTTTTCTTTTTTAATAACCTTTTGGATAATTACACTTAAATCACTTAGTGATGATGGAGAGGATGCAGCGTGGGAATTTCCAAAGCCAATTTCTCCTTCATCAGATGATGATGATGTTGATGATGATGATGAGGGTTCAGAGGATAATGCAACGATCGGGCCGGCCAAAGGAAAACACACAACGGTAATCACTATTTTTATCCTGATCATATATATACATTTTCTTGTTGAATAGTCTTTATAGTTTGTCTTAATTTAATCAGGCAATGAAATCTAGTGGTTCCGATTTTGACACAGTCAAACATGTTGATATGTCAAAGGTCGAAGATTTATACTCAAATAACAATGAAAAGAATGAAGAGCCTGTAACTGGACCGGCAGTTTTCAAAAAAGTCATCGTACCTTCATTAGATAAAGTATGTTAACATTCTAATGCGTACATTTATTTCATGTGCGTTAGTTTGATTGCTTATTATGTTTTATAAATTAGTTGCGTATGAATGCACCATCCAAAAAGTCTCAGCTCACATTAGATGTCTTGAAAAAGGCTTTCGAGGATGCTGAAATGGAAAATCCTGGTATATCTGAAACACTGATGCATGCTGTTTTTCAGAAATTCGACGAAGTTAATCCTTGAATTGTAATTAATTGGACTCGATAACGAAGTATTATTTGAGTGGATGTAATATTTGTGGATATCATCCACACATTTTGGTTTGCTAGGAGAATTAATGTTGACATTTTGTGTAGATATTTATTGCATTTAGTTCTTTTGTTTTAACATTATTTAAGTGATTGTACTTGTAATTCAACTGTGTTCTAACCAGGTTAAATGCAATATTGACCCTTATTTCTTATTTATTGAACTTACTAAACTTGAAACTTAATCGGTAATGTTAACGTAACAATGTTGGTATCTGGGTTTATTTTTATAATCCAGACATGAATATTAATTTGAATACGGTCTTGTGCGATTTCACGTATCAAAAGCAGGGCTGGAAGCACGGCATGTAGACAGGTAATCGCGTGTTTATTCGATACGATGATTGAAGATTAGAAATTTAGTGTTGTCAATTGGACTAATTTAATCCAGCAATTGGACAAATTGACAGTCCAATGAAAATGAACATATATCCAATTTAATTGAAAATATATTTACTTAGTTCAATTGATAACATTAAATTGTAAACATCGGATATGGCACAGAGTCTTGAAAGCCAAGCATATTGGTTTGATACCTTATCAAAGAATTAGAAACTGAAGATTTATCAAGGTGTATATATAGTCAGACTCTATAAACACACTCTCTATAAATGCACGCTTTATGTAAATTCACTCTAAATGTATGGTATAACTTTGGCACCATTTTATAAAAAATGGGTTCAGTTAGATTATTTAGTTACAATTAACATGTAACGTTTACATACGTAATGATTTACATATTTTGATTAATCGAAAATAATTAAAATTAAGATTTACCAATTAGATAATTATTGCAAAGTTGTTTTATATTAAATGTATATTTATTGGTTGATTTATTTAGCAGTATATTTTTATAAAGTTCTAGATTTGGCTTTTTTTTATTATAGTTGGAAAATCTTATATTTATTTAAAAACATTTTAAAATATAAAAAAAAATTCAATTTTTTTTTATTTGGGCAGTTTTGTTAATGCATTTTTTAGGTTATCATATTTTATATAAATATTTTTAAGTTTTGATATTAATATTTTGCAATTATACAACTCTAACAATTATCTAAATTAAGTTTGCATCAAAAGTAGGTTGAAGCTTTGATCTTAAAGTGAATAACATTCTTAGTTTTACATTAAGTAAACTTGTTAATAAAGCTTAAGTATATGAAATACTAAAGAGTAATCAAAACTTAAATAGTTTTTATTTTAGATTAAGTTTTTTCAATTATTATAAAACGCACCTATGATGTTTTGCATCTTTATATGTTTTATGTTTTTTAAATTTTTTAAGTTTTTATAAGTTTTGTTATAAAAATTTTTAACTTAAATTTTTTCACATTAGGATTAGTTTTTAAGTTAGTATTAGGTTATTTTTTGTAATTTCATGATTTGCTAATAGATGTCCAATAAGATTATCAGTTGAGAACTTAGTTCAATATGTTCTTTTACATTCTACTCTAACTAATATTTTAATCTTACAAATAGCAAATTTTTTCTACTGTTATTTTTTTTCAAATTTCTAAATAAAAAAATTCCTATACTCAGTTAGTTCTATTTGATAAATTAACTTAAAAAATTCTGCCAATAAGAACTTTATTCTGAGAATTCTAAATAAGATTATTAGTATTTTTGTTATTGGCTCTGTACTTCTTTTTTTTAGTAATTTCATTTATTATTGTATATTTAAAGGATTATCTAATGCAAAATAAATATTTAAATTAATTATAAATTGATTACAGATTGATTGCATAACAGATAACTAAAATTGTATAACTTAAATAGATAACAGATATTTATTAGATAACTCAAATAAATTTGATCCAGATTACTCTTAATAAGTGAATATCTGTTATTTACATAAGATCAGATTTTAAAACAAATATTTAAATTGAAGGGTGTGGTAACCTAGTGAAGTGATCAAGTTGTTAACCCTCTAAGTGGTGGTTGGGTGTTTAAATCCTATCGATGATGAAAATTTGGATAATCATTTATGTAATATTTGTATTACAGCAACTGTTACTAACAATTAGATTAGGATACCTGTAATGGTGGTCACATCAGCATAACTGGTAGGTCATGGGGCATTCATATAACAGGTCACATGACATTGTCTTTTGGAACAAGGTTGTTGTTATATAAAGAAATGCAAACCAACAATTAAGCGATGCAAACACTAGATAAGTTCTTATGACTGTATAAATCTGTTGAAATTGGGTAACAAGAAGTCCATTTAAGAAAACCCAAGTAGAGAGGTAGCTAGATCTTCGATGGTTCTACTGTAAAGACTAGCTTTATAAAATGGATACCAAGGTCGAAGTAGCCAGACAGGCAAAAACCTCTAGATGGAGGGTACCACCAACTAGACTGCTGGATCAAGCTAGAGAAAAAGAATATTGAGTCAATCTGATATATCAATGGACTGATCATAAGTCCTATCAGACTATCTAGATTGGAAGTTTGATGAACCAGCAGAGGTATACTAAAGTATTTTGGATAACCTGTGAAATAGATGTTAGGATTTGTATAAACTCTACAAGGGCATAACAGTTTAATAGTCAGCTCTGATTGCAAGTATTGGTTTTGTCATAACAATATCTAGATTAGTTGTAAAAATGGGTACAGAAGGCTCTGGGGGTTTACCTTAAAGATAAATTAGTTCTAAGGTTGAGATGATAATCTAGGCATCTGGGATAACTTAGTAATGTTAATACAGTTTACAGGTTCAGATGGTTTAAAGTAGAACATCCAAGCAGAAGTATTAGGTATAGTAATTAGTAAAGAACCTTCAGGCGGACTTCTTAAATAGGTAATATAGAAAAGTTACACATGTAGCCAATTGTACACTCTCTTGTAGTGGTTCATTGAACTACAATACCAATAAGTAATTAATAAAAGTCAAAAGACCAAAGAGATCACCTTAAAAAAAAAAAAAAACAAAAAAAAAAACAAATATCTAAATTAACAGATTTTGAATTATATCTCTAATTTATAGTAATGTTAATATGAAATTTGAAGATATTGTGAATTTGTAAAATAAAAGTATTGTTTTTCGAAGTGTTTAAAATATAGTTTATATGTATAAAAATTTTTAAATAGATAAGTTTAAATTGTAAGTTGTAAAAAGAATTTTTGATAATCAATAGTTTAGTATTTGTTATATATAAATAAATAAAGTTTGGCAAGGTTTATAGCAATTTGAAATTATTTTTTAATTAAGCAAGAAGGAATAAAATAGTATGAGTTAAAAAATTGATTGTAATTTGTTTTATGAAAAAAAGTATAAATAAATTTGATAAGCTAGTTTTTTGTTGTATTAGAAAGAATTTTAAAAAGTATTTTGGTTACTTTAATAATATGTAAATTTTTGTTTAAAATTGTATCTATAATAAATTTAGTTTTTTTGATTGCTACAGTTTAAATAAATAAGTTAAAATTACTTTTTATAGCAGATTTGTTGATTATTATAAAATTAATAATAAAACCAGAATAGAAATCTTTAAGGATTAGTTTTAAAAGATATAATATTTGAATTTCAGATATTATAAGTGTAAATAAAAAAAAGTTTTCTAAGATGAAATAGCTTTTAAATCAATCTAAAAGATGATCTTATTAGATTGTAATTTGTATGTTCATTTTAGAATTATAAGTAATAATAATGATAAAAGGATGTTTAAAGTTGTAAATAGTTTAGAACAGAAATATGAAAAGAATTTTTTTAGTTCATAATATGAATAAAGTATTTTATAATATAAATAGCAAAAAAGAGCAAGTGAAAAGGATAAAAATTAAATAAGAAAATTGAGTTTTTTGAAATTGACAATAAATTTTTCAAAGAGTCAATAAAATTTTCAGATTCCTCTAAGGAAATTTGAAAAAATATTGAATATTTAGATATTTTCAAGATTGATAAAAAGTAAAATTTCTGAAGCAACCCTATAAATTTTCCAAAATTGACCAATAGTTTTTAAAAAAGAGTTTGAATAGGAGTTTGAAAAAAATATTGATAACTTAATAAGATTTGGTTTATTAAAGATAAAATTTATGTTAAAATAATCATTTCAATAAGCTATATATTTTTGTTTAATGAAAGAAAATAAGTTTACTTAGTAAAATTTGATGAACATTAAGAAAATATATTTTTTTAAAAAACATTAGTTTGTATGTAATATAATAATTAAATTTTGGTAAAATTAGTATAGTTAAAAGCATTACAAACTATTCCCATCAATTATTCAGATACAAAAAACAGCTAAAGAAAAAAGAAGATTTTAGCAAAATTAGCAATAAGAAACACTTCAAGTAGCTCTAAGCAAAAAGAAGCAGCAACAGAAAAAGCAATAGACTAATAGAAAAATAGTTTATTTGCAAAACTAATAGCATAGTTACTAAAAAGAAAACAGAAAACTTACAAAAAAATAACAGTAGTAGAGATTGCCAATAGACTTTGTAATGTAAATCTGTTTACATTACACAAAAGACACATAATAGCAAAACAACAACAGACATGTGCAAGCTATCAAATTGGAACAGACATTACAAATCTTATATCAATACACATGAAATTTTATATATAAATAAGCAAAATAACAAAGAAAACTAACAACTAATTAAAATTTGTAGATATAAATAGAACATAGAATTAATAAAGCATAGAAAAAGTTTCTTAACAATATTTATGAAATGAGCATACTAGGCAATGAATAGGATATATAATAAAATATTCTTTAATCAGTCAAGTAGTACATATGTAACACCAAACAGAGAAGATAAAATTGTGACCATGCTTACAGAGCAAAGTCTAGCAGAAGTTGCATTATTAAGAAAAACTAGAGAATTAATTGAAAGAGCAAAAAAAAAACAATCAGAAAAGAAACTTAACTTTACAGAAGTAAACAAGAATATAATACTGATTGAATTCGAAAGAACTCAAAAACAAGAAAATAA